GTAGTGTAGTTGCAGCCTAAAGAGGATTGCAATTCATGTGTGCAGTTGTGTTGATGGATGAATACGGGTGGGAGTGATTCTTTCCCTGCACCTTGTGTGAATTTAATCAATTAATAAGAGCATGCTTGTATTTCATAGAATGCAACTGCCTGCTATCCTGCTCCAGGCAATGTTCTGTACGATAATGCACTCATTCTCGTAGTTTTACTTCCTTTTGAAAGGCGATTGCTTTCTCTCAAGTTCCTGTACATTCGTGCCTCCTCTTTTTCGTTTCTTCAAGGCTCTGTCCTTCCTGCTTCCTAGCGATTAATTCAATCTGGCTTACACGTGAGTCATAGTACAACATCTGGACAATCAAACTGTCACCTGTTCTTGTACATGAGGCTTGAGAAATGCTAAGATTCAACTGAACAATTTGTTTGTATTTGTGTGTGTAGCTAACCAAACCAATCCTCTTTATGTTTCTCATGGGCATCAGGACTGTCGACCTAACGATCGTAAGTTCCTTCATTCCTGTCTATGTTAGCATAATAATTATGGGTGAAAGGGATACATAAAAAGACAGACATAGCAATAGAGAAAGACACTCAGATATATATATGGTGAGATGCAGATAGATTGATTGATAGATCGTGAGCGAAAAAGTGATAGTTGCTGTGTGGTGCCATCATTTGGCCAAAAGCCTGATTGGTCGTTGGGAAGTTAAGGTTGAATGTGTTTTGAAAACTGTTCAGCAACTATGCCCTTTTGCACTTTCAATGTCACCCGGAGCAGTGATATCGGTCGATTGTTGGGGGGGGGGGGGGGCAGTTTCGGTGCCTTTCTTGTCGATGGGCCCGACTGTTGCGTCCCTCCACCCTTGCGGGATGGATCAACGTTCGAAGAAGATGTCAAAAGGGGTTGCTAGGGATGGAGAAAGTGATCTGGCTACCTTTTTCAGAAGGTACACAGGTATGCCATCACAACCTGGGCTTTCTGACGGGTCTAGTTTAGACAGTAGCTTTGAAACCTCTGGGTTGTTGTGTTCCTGCGAAGTATTTCCCCTGGTGTTGCAAATGAAACTGTCCATCACTGCTGTGTTGTTGCTGTTGTTGTTGTTGTCGTCGTCGTTGTCGTCGTCGTCGTCGTCGTCATCGTTGTTGTTTGAAATATTTTATTCTCACACGGTTGTTGTTGTTGTTGGTATTTGTTGTCGTCGCCGTCGCCGTCGTCGTCGTCGTCGTCGTCGTCGTTGTTGTTGTTGTTGTTGTTGTTGTTGTTGTTGTTGTTGTTGTCGTTGGGTTTGCAAATGCTGTAGAGCCATACACACACCCCTGTGGAAGTTGCTTTGAAGATATCCTTATCCGTGAAAGATGCATTTGTGCCAATGGATACACTAATAAATCTGACCTCTGCGTTCGTAAGTAGCTTAATTTGTTTGTTGTTCGTTTAAAAGAAAACTGGGTTAATCAGTTGACGACCGTTCTATTGGATTGCTATTAAAAACACAAACAAGGTCCCTAGAAATATACTGATGGAGTCACACTAGCAACCGTTACACTGGATACCCCCCCCCCCCCCCCGTACACTAGCCCTTTCCCAAAGGTGCTCTTTTAATTCGCACCTAGTGCTTTTCGCGTCCCTCGAAATATGCTGAAAAAGTGCTCACTTTTCAGTGAAAATAGGCAAAAAGTGCTCTTTTCTCAGTGAACCATAGCCATGATACATGTTCAGATATGAACCCAAGCTGAGAAATGAGTATGCACTCTTCCATTTATGGGTCAACGAAAGGCAAAACAGGAAGTAAAGTTGAAAAAACCCACTTTTTACAGCATCACCAACTTCACCAACTTGCATCACTAACTTCACCAACTTGTCGCCCCACAAAAAAGCAGCGTGCCAAGGCCCATCGAGCACTCGGAAACTGTGATCGCTTGCATTAGCAAACAGATTTTAGCACTTTTTCAGCTAAAAAAGCTCAAAACGGGCGCTATTCACCAAAAATCGCAATAAAGGGCAAAAGAAACAGGCTTTTCCAAAAAGGGCCAAAAAAGGGCGAAAAAGGGCTAGCACCTTTCGGAAAGGGCTACCGTACACACACACACATACACAAACACACTTTCCGGCTCCCCCCCCCCCCCACCGCCCCCTCCACCCACACACACTCCCCAGCTCCCACAACTTCTAGGCTTCGTGTTTTCTCCACTCCGCTTCTCCTTCTGTTTAAGGATCATCATGGCAACCAACCAAGCAATCTTTGTATGTTCACCGATGCAGTTCTTTGTCCCTCAGTGTGATGACAACCTAACCTGTAAAATATAATGTATATAAAGTCTCGTTCTCCGGGATCTGCAATCCCATCATGTATACCTTGATCTAATAAGACGGAACTCCTTTCGTTTTCCGATTGCAAGAAACAATTCCATGTGCCGCTCGCCTGTGTTCTTGGCGTACCAATTAGCTCAGTTTGATCAAACATAGATGTTGCAGATGTGTCTTGCTTTTCTCCTTCCTTCTTCACCGACTCGTCTTGTCATCTCTCCTTCTTTCTTCGCCGACTCGCCGTGTCCACTCTCCTCCACCACTAACGGCACATTAAAACTTCAGAACTAAATATTGCGACAGAGCTTTCGGCCATATTTTCAATTTATTGCATTCCCAACTCATCCCAACTCATCACAACCACGCGCTCCTCAGCTCCAACTGAGCTGAGCTACTGATACAAAGCGTCGACCAAGCAGCCCTGACTGGAGTGAATGCCCCAGCTGGCCTCTCGTTTGTCAGTGGTTGCTACTAGACCTGCTAGTATCACACTCACCACTACAAGTTTCCTGGTACGCATCGACATCGGCATCAGTGGGGCCTCCCGCTGTGGATCCTGTTGACGGGCGGACAGGTCGGTGTGAATCCTGAATGACAACCGAGCCTGTCGCGTTGGGTAATCTTGGCGGTGAGGCTCGACTCGCCTGCATACATGGACATTTCAACATCATAATAATAAACAGCATACATGTACTCTCCATTGGCATCAGTATTCCACGTGAGGTTTTCGTCGCCTTTGTGATGTTTTCCTCCACCAATGAGCGCGTACTATGAATTGTATCGCTGTGCTCACACTTTACCATTTTAGCAGCTTGCATATGCCATTGCTATATGTGGAAAGCGCGCAATTGCGCCATTTCTGGTGTATAAGAATGATCATTCCTCCATTATCATCATTACCATCCTCTACTGATGAGCTCCAACAGGGAGCGAAACAGCTGTCTAGAGGCGTGGAACAATATTATCTCTCAACGGAAGTTTCCTTGCTGGTGTCTGGATAGTTGTGATGAGTTGGGAATGCAACGAGAGAGCTTGGAAGCTCAGGGCCCTACGCTATGCTTTTTTTGCCTTGATGACCTAGACAAAAAAGCATAGGGATGTTATAAATTCATACTACTGTTGTATAAAACAACGCAAAAAAAAAGAAAGAAAGAAGATAGCTAAAGTATACAGCGAAAATTGCAATAATGACACAAAGGTGCAAATGCAAGAAAACTCAATAATATATTGTTGTATAAGTTTCTACTTTTTGTTTTTAGACATAACCTGGGATTCGAACCCGCACTATCACCCTGCATGCATCCCCCGATACACTTCGCATACATACTAATTCTTCCAAGTTGCTTCACGTTATGATCTTGTATTTGAAAGCCCTATTTGAATATGCATTGTGGCCAACGTCTTTGATTGTACGGTACCGTACGGGGTAAGGTACGGGACAGGTACGGGACAGGTACGGGACAGGTACGGTCAAGGGTAATACGACATGGTCTACCGCCTTGATGACGGTAAAAAAAAGAAAAGGGATGTTATAAATTTGTCAATTCTCCTATTTTTCAGGCATTACCTGGGATTCGAACTCGCACTATCGCCCTACATGCATTCCCCCATGCATTCATACCTATTCTTCCAAGTTGCTTCACGTTATGATCTGGCGTTTGAAAGCCCTATTTGAATATTGCGACCAGCTGTATGTGGCCAGCTGTTTTTGATGGTACGGTACGGGACAGATACGGGATAGCGCCAGGCGTGACACAAACACACGAACAAACAAACACGGAATTAAAGCTGTGTTGATCCTGGCTAGCGCCAGACGTTGCTGAAGTAATGTCTTCTGCATAGCTACGGGAATAAATTGATAATTCTCACTAAATTGATAATATGGCCGAAAGCTCTGTCGCAATATTTAGTTCGAAATAATAATAATAATTATAAAATATACAAATAACCTACGTGGAGATAATAATTTTAATATAGCTATGAATAGGATGAAGGCCGCAGACATCACGCAACTACAGTTGTGGCAAGTGAAATCCGACACTTGCCATAGGGGACAGCGCCACAAATGGACACCAATGATGTAATGCACTGCACCTAATTTGTACTATAGAGCCATATGCATCCCAAACGGTCACAGCGTAGATACACACAGTTCACAACACATAAGGAGTATTGGTATCCAATCCCCATTCATTTTTGCCAGCACCTTTTGAACCTTGACTGCGATGAGTACGAGTTTTGTGATCAGACAGATAAAGTTGTATGTAACACATGTACTGTACGTATGCAGGGCTGCAGGCGCTGCAGACTGCACGGTGCAGTCCCTTAGTGTCTAACAAGTAATGTACAGTTGTTATTATTATACGCATTCCCGCGGCAGCGTCAACCAAGCAGTTATGCTTGATCCACACGTTCGCTTATGCTGGACATTGAAACAAAGCAGATGTAGACAGCTCCTAGAGAATGGGGCTCTACAAAACCAATGATCGAAGTTAGTCCTTCAGTAACATGGAGCGTCACAAAATTGGTCTCTTTGGAAAAATGTCATCACTATTGTCTCCTCATGTAGCATCATGGTCAATGGGTGGCCAGATAATAATACGTATGAGGTTGAGTTGCCAGATAATTATTAAAATATTCAAATAGTAATATTATTATAGAATGGTTATTATGAGTTTATAAGGGTGCCATGGCTGTTTCTACTCGTGACGAGGGTGTGCACAAACACTCTTCACCAGCGCGTTCCATGCTGGACGGTCCACAGCAATCCGCTCCAGACGGCGCAAGTCCTCAACACCCCGCAGGTGCCCATTGTTCGACTGGGACAGATCGGTGTGGAGCTTTATTGGTAGTGTCACCCTCGGCCTCCCACGGTATCTCCCCTCGGGTGCCTGAAAGTATTGCTCCATGCTCAATCGTGCTGGCGTGTCCTTACCCAGGCGAAGCACATGCCCGAATAGACTCCAGTGTGAATTTCGGATCAAGTCCGACACCGGCTCCACTCCACATCGGGCATACAACGCCAAATTACTAATCTTTTGTGGCCATGTGATGCCGAGAAGTGACCTGAGTTGCCTTCTATGGAAAGCGTCCAGGGAGCGTTCGCTAGCAACCGTCAGGCCCCAGGTGCCTGAATTATAGAGAAGTATCGGCATGATAAAGGCGCAGTACAACCTCATACGCAGAGGCTCTCGGATCAGTCCTCGGCGCTTCCAAAGAGACCACATGGATCGGAAGGCAGCCTCGGCCAATTGCCTGCGACGTGTCACATCCTCAATGTCGCCCAGGAGTGAGCCCAGCTTTCGGGATGTCCTCCAGCGCTCGTCAATTCTGTCTACAGATCGACCCAGCTCTGTCCACTCAGTTTTGGTGTTGTTGACTCTCAGGGCCCACTGCCCAAGAGTGTGGTCTATGACCGGTTCGAGCTCTGTGAGCCATTGACGACTAAGGCTTATGAAATCAGTGTCATCTGCGTAGACAAGCTCAAATGGAATGTTGATGCTTTGATCCATTGGCGGTCTGTTCCGTGCCACCTTGGTGCTCCTCAGATCTCTCAGTGCTGCCTCTAAGTATATAACAAACAACACCGGGGAGAGAGAATCACCCTGCGGGGTGCCAATTGTAGTTTCGAGGGACTCTGATACTGCCCTGCCGATGCGACCTGCAAAGTTGTGTTGGTCAACAGCACTCTAACCAGCCGAACATCATCCTCCGTCAGGAAAGACTCGAGAACTGTCAACAGTTTGTCACGATGTATACAGTCGAATGCTTTGGACATGTCGATTCCAAGAATGGTCATTTCCCGCCGATAATGCTGACATGTTGCTGCAAACCATCTGTGGCTCCAAACAAGGTCCGCTGTAGATCGGCCTGCTCTGAAACCACTCTGCCGCGGAGACAAGTACTCACCGACTTTCGACGATATTCTTCACAATGTAATAATGGAGAGCGTTTTGCGTAATGATGTAAGGAGGACAATAGGGCGCAGATTTCCAGGTGGTCCAACCGTCTTTCCTGGTTTCTGCAGCGGTACCAGTGTGCCACATCCCAGGTCAAGGTGCTGGTGAGTTGTAAACATGCTGTTGAACAGACAGGCAATGTGAGGTGCTAGGTTTTCTCTTCCATATTTCAAGAGTTCGCCTGGGACTCCATCTGGGCCAGGGGACCTTCCATTATTCAGTTTTTTCAGTGCGTTGGAGACCTCAGCAGATGAGATTTGTCTTTGGAGGCTTCTTGGGCGACCGGTGAATCGCTCGACGCCTGCATCCACATTCCCACGAAACTGGTCATGGAAGTGGCTCCGGACCGCAGATGCCGCCTCCTGGTCATCGGCTATGAAGCGACCCTTCTGGTCATGTACAATGGGCTTTCGGCTTGGCTTTCTGGTCATCAGCTGGACTGCTTTGAACATCCGTGCTCCATTCTTCAACCTCTCGACTTCCGCTGCTCTCTCTTGCATAATTTGTACAGTTGTGGCAAGTGAAATCCGACACTTGGCATTGATATGTCTACAGATAGCAAGAAGACATTTATTATAAAACAAATCTGAAGAGAAGGAAAACACAACTGAAGAGGCAAAACACATGAAGCACGGAAGTATCTCCCAAGCCAAGCAAGCATGCCGTTATGGTGCGAGGTCATACAACTGTGGTACAAATCTAGTACGGGAGTACATGAACTACAGGTCAGCCATTTGACCTGCAGTACTCCCATCTCGCTCCTTCCCACCCGACTCCTCCTCGTCCATCTCATCATCCTCTTCCTCGTTCTGCTCGTCATCCTCACGATCCTCATCACTACCATCATCTCCATCCTCTGATCACCTGTCTCATCCTCCGTTTCTGCACAGACCACCTGTCTCCCATTTGCTAGCTGCTCGTCCCGTGAGCGGAGTTGTTCCTCCAGATCCGCTTCACTCACTGACTCATGATCCTGCTCGACTTTCCTTGTGTTGGTATTGTCCACAACGCGCGACCCTTGGCCGTTTCTGGCTAAAATATCTGTGGAGTAGTTTGCTGTTGCCCTCCGATGTCTCTGGATTAATGTGGGTGCCGTGGCAATTCGTGTGAGAGTTGGTGATGTCAGCGCGGGTGTAGGTGGGTCCACCGCAGCCCCCGCCACAAGAAGACCCGGTGGCGGTTCTGGTGGTGGCAAGGGCAACGGTGGTGCTGCTGGGGTTGGTAACTTGGGCAGCCTAGTCCCCTCACACGTTACCGCATTTTGTATTGGCTCTGTCAGTACCACTGGCACAGGGGGTGGGTTCTTGCGCGGTCGGCCATGCTTCGGCAGCTTGAATTTAGCTGCATCCGGCAGAATATGCAGTGGTACATGCTGTTTGATACGTGCGGTCAGGTGTTGAAGGGTCCTACCAACGTACGGGCTACCACAATTCCGGCACTCAAATTGGTAAACCAAATGGCTCAAAAGATGGGATGGTAGGACATCCTTCCTGACCATGAACGCACGTATCGTCGTGAATACAGGAATGAAGTGTGCTGCGAAGTATGTTTTCAGTACTAGCGTCTTGACAGCGCGGCACATGGTCAACGATGTGTTTCCTTTCCAAGGCAACCAAAGATATATTGGGCATCGAGCAGGACCAATGCTCACTTCTTTTGATTTGTATGCTGTCTTCATTAGTTTATTGAGTACGCCTTCAGGGTATCCGTTCTTTAGAAACACAGACTTTAAGAATTGTAACTACTCGCTGAGTTTACTCGGCGAGCAAATGCGCCGTGCCCTGTCAACTAGGTTCCGCACCAAATTCACTTTATACTGGTAGGAGCAGTACGAATCATACACAATATACTGCCCCGTGAACATCGGCTTTCTGTATACGGAGGTAATGATATCATCATTCGATTTCTCAACCAATACGTCAAGAAACGAGAGTTTGTTGTTGTGCTCGTGCTCGCATGTGTATTCTAGAGACAGATGTAAGCTATTCAGATGATGAAGGAAGTGGTCGCACTGCTCCGTGGAATCAAAATACATAAACGAGTCGTCAACGAACCGGACATACAGCTCAGGCCACAGTGACTCATCAATCAAGGACTCACAGTAACCAACAAAAATGTTTGCGAGCACTGGACCAAGTGGAGAGCCCATGGCTACTCCATCCACCTGTCGATATATAACATCATCAAACGAAAACTCTACGCCCATCGTGACGAGGGACATGAGGTTACGGAAGGAAGGTTCAGGTAACAATGGTGTGTCAACGTCGCTATTACGATACAGTACATCTGAACATATGTCTATGGTCTCTTCTAAAGGCACATTCATGAACAAACTGACTACATCGAAGGAACACAAGTGCGCACCGGGAGGAACTTTGTGGGTACGTAGGAGATATCCGAACTCGAAGCTGTATTTTACATTGTGCTTACAATAATGATCTTGTATGGCTCCAAAGATAACACAGAGGCACTTCGATACTTTGTATTCCGGTGAAGCCACCATCGATAATATGGGGCGCAGAGGACAATTGGCCTTATGTATTTTAGGGAGTCCATATAGACGCGGACGGGCGAAGCCTATTGGTTTTATTCTCAGGAACTCCGAATTGGTGATTTCATTATCAGATTTTAATTTCTTTAGATACTGAATCAGAGATTTCTCGACTTTTACAGTTTTATCATGGGTTGAGACTGGACCGAGTTTTAAGAACTTGGAATCATCGTTCAAGATGACTGCCATCTCGGATGTGTATTCTTCTCTACTCATGATGACTGTAGCACGGCCTTTACCTGTTCGGGTAATGATGATATCATGGCTTGTACTAAGTTCACGTCGTGCTTTGAGATGTTCTCGGGATAAATAGAACCCGCTCCGGTCAGGAGGTTTCGCGGCATGTTCTTCGGCAAGCGCCCTGAGGCTGGCACTGCACACAGCCTGTTTTTCTTCCGAGATGAGAGTGAGCTGCCCCAGTTTCTTGTAGAACAACTCAAACTCGGTCAGTATGACTTCCTTCTTATCACTAACAGGAGGAATACCGAAGTCCGTGCCCCGGCACAGCAACTCCTTTTGGACGGTGGTTAGGTCAATGTTGGTGCGGTTAATGATTGTATCTGTATTGATCTGTATTGACCCAAAACGTTTAGTGCGCAACCACTTGAGATTCTTATCATACTTCACAATTAGCCTAGATTTTAATTTGTTTAATTGTCGGCAATAAGTGAGCTAACCTAAGGCAGTCATGATCGGAAAGGAACGAGCGGGCCATGCGATACAAACGTTTGAACTCCGACTGTATCGTACAAAGTGTGTCAGACGACCGAACGATATCATCTTTCAAGAATACTCTTTTCGATCGATAAGGAGTGACATGCTTTGGCCTTATGCACACGTTTCTGAATAGAATTACGACAAACACCACAATCACGACACTGTTTAAGGAACGAAATATTCAGTGAAAGGCAATTACAAACATGGCACTTTCGCAGGGCATTATTCAGAATATCTATCTGTTGTCTCGTGTATCTCCGCTTGAAATATACAAATAATCTACCTGGAGATGATAATTTTAATATAGCTATGAATAGGATGAAGGCCGCAGGCATCACGCAACTACGTTACTTGTTTGACATGTATTTACTGTGTATTTTATAACAAAAATATTATTGAAAACCCATAATCGATTTTCTTGTTCCTATCATCAGTGGGAAAATACTGTATTCACGATGATACGTGTGTTCATGGTGAGGAAGGACGTCCTACCATCTCATATTTTGAGCCATTTGGTTTACCAATTTGAGTGCCGGAATTGTGGTAGCCGGTCCGTTGGTAGGACCCTTCAACTCCTGACCGCACGTATCAAACAGCATGTATCACTGCATATTCTGCCGGATGCAGCTAAATCCAAGCGGCCGAAGCGTGGCCGACCGTGCAAGAACCCACCCCCTGTGCCAGTGGTACAGACAGAGCCAATACAAAATGCGGTACCGTGTGAGGGGGCTAGGCTGCCCAAGTTACCAACCCCGGCAGCACCACCGTTGCCCTTGCCACCACCAGAACCGCCACCGGCTCTTCTTGTGGCGGGGGCTGCGGTGGACCCACCTACACCCGCGCTGGCATCACCAACTCTCACACGAATTGCCACGGCACCCACATTAATCCAGAGACCTCGGAGGGCAACAGCAAACTACAGCCACAGATATTTATGCCAGAAACGGCCAAGGACCGCACGTTGTGAACAATACCAACAGAAGGAAGGTCGGGCAGGATCATGAGTCAGTGAATGAAGCGGATCTGGAGGAACAACTCCGCTCATGGGACGAGCAGCTAGCAAATGGGAAACAAGTGGTCTGTACAGAAACGGAGGATGAGACAGGTGATCAGAGGATGGAAGAGCAATTGGATTACGAAACGGTTGGTGAGGAGACAGAGGACGAAGCAGATGATGGTAGTGATGATGATCGTGAGGATGACGAGCTGAACGAAGAAGTGGATGATGAGATAGACGAGGAGGAGTCGGGTGGGAAGGAGAGAGATGAGGCGGATGAATGTGTTG